ACATGGTTTGGGTGCCCGGATCTTTGCTGTGGAACCACGGTTCGAATCCAACCTGCGGCCCTTTCCTGACTTACTCTTCAGCTGTTATTATCTATTAAAGGTAATAAAAGCCCCTAAAAATGTTATAATATAATAATATAATCATCACTGCTACATTAAAGTGATGACCAGGGCTAGTACTCACTAGTTAGCCATCCAGTATTGTTTTCATGTTGGGACCCCAAATCTAATCTTGCTTCTTTTTTTCAAATATTGGATGATTTTAAATATTATTTAAATGAAACAATCTGAGACGTTTAGAGGAGAAATCTCTCTTTGGTGGAACTGCTAACAACTCATAGACATCTTCAATGTGACAACGGGTCCCAAAAAGAGATTAATTTTCACAAGCCAAACAGGAAACCACAGGTTTACTCTGTAACAATGTAATGTTATAATCTTATCATGTGTACAATATAAATCTGTAACTAACTACAGCTGTCAGATGAATGCAAGTAGGCAGTTCAGTATATGTGGTTGTGATAGGTGTGAGGTATAAAGTGGCATAAAATAAAATATGGTTGTAATATCTCAGTATTAAATGTGGTAAACAAATTATTCTGCTAAGTTCAAACACAGTAATTGTTCAGATGATAGGTTTCAGTCTGGCTTCCACTGAAACTTTTTTGAGTCTCTCGTGATTGTTGAAGGGACTGATACACAATGATGTATAGGAGTGTTTTATTTTGGTGCTGCTGGATCTGAACCACAGTATCTAAATTAACAAACTGGGTCAGTATCTCAAGGTCGGCCCTGGAGTGCAGGATCCTAAACCTACATTCCTGTTTCATCCAGCTGATGATTTTACTAAACCTAAGCCTATTGTGTCTTTAATTGTGCTTATTTTAAATCACATCTATTTTGTAATTCCTTCTTCGCCTGCTTTATGTAAACAAGACATCCCTAGATTGTTTACAAGTGGTCCAGAATACTACAGCAAGACTTTTAACCTGATCTTTATCAAATTCAAAATCCAGTTCAAGATTCTTGTGATTACTTTTAGAGCTCTAGCACCTTCCTAGATAAGAGATATCTTCCAGCCTTATTGCCAGTCAATCTCTTAGATCCTCTGATTGGGGTTTATTGTTCCAGACTTAGAATTGTAGTTCCTAAACTTTGCATTATTTTTTATTTTGTTTTTTATGTTATACTTTTATGTTGTGTCTGTATTTCATGGCAGCAAGATTTCTTTTGTTTTGCTTTAATTAAAGTGTGCTCTCCAGCAGAGGAGAACCCACACCCAGGCCAGGGCTTGCTGTAGTTACTGGTGATTAATAGCTGGAGGCAAAGAAATAATCTCATGACTGTTTGAAAGAAACAAACATACAGCGAGAAACAAAAAAGCACCACGATAAACCACCGACGAGTGGACATCTAAACGCTCCATGTGTACTTTTTGTAATGTGCACCCTGGAGCCGATCCCAACAGTTTCCAACGACTCAAATCCTCCAGGAGGTTTTGTGTCTCCCATCCCTCTGTTTTTCCACCTCCCTCATCCTAGAAGGCAGTTGGTTTTCAACGCCGGCTCACCTCACTCCAGGCATCTAACTGGGATGGAAATAAGATGCAAATCCCTCCACAGTTTTTCGCATGTGAGCACTTGTCTGAGCTGCAGAGACTGCTTGTAACTGTGTTGAAGTACTGGACCACTGTGGGTTCAGGTGTGAAGTCTGGGAGCTCAGGCTGAAGCTTGCTGTTGGTGGGTAAACAGGGAAAGAGTCCATATGAACAATGAAACAGTGTAATGTGTTTGAAGATCATTATCATGTCACTGTCTCTCTGAATGTTAACAGACTTCTATGAGGTTTTAAATGATGTGCTGAGCACCACTTAAGTACTTACTTAGTGTGACAGATCCACAAATATTACTTTATTTACAATGTGGGGTTGTCAGCGCTCCAGTGTAACGGATTACTTGTGGTTTGGTTTTGCTTTTCCAGCCTCATCCGTTGGGACTTTCTCCCTCTTGTCATATCTGAGATGAATTCTTTGATTTAAGAGCTTTAACTGGACGATGTTTCAGTGTTTCATGGTTAAAGAGAAGCAGCTGAATGTTTGTGAAGTTTTTCAGTGTTTTGCTGAGGCTTGGGGTTAGATGGTATCACACTGTTCCCAGTGATGACAGTAAAAACAGTCACAGACACTGAGGGCACGGCATACCAGCATGCTGCTCCGCAACTCTTAAAACACCTAATGCACGCACACACACACACACACACACACACACACATACACTGTAGAGGAAACAGGTCAGTACTTCGTACAGGTGTTATGGGATTCTGGGATTCTTGATGCGTGTGTTTTGCTTCACAACACTGCTGATGTTTTAGCCCTGAGCTGTGGATA